AAGAACTCGTTACGTACCTCAGCCTTCTCAATACCCTGGGTAGCCAGGTCTCCCGCTTTCTTCTGGAGGGGGCCCACATTTTCCCTAGTCCTCATTTTATCACTGACATACCTACAGAAGTTCTCCCTGTTACCCTTAACGTCCTTGGCCAGATTTAATTCTATCAGGGCTTTAGCTTTCCTAACCTGATCTCAGGCTTCTCGGACAGCTTCGCTTTATTCCCCCCAGGCTACTCATCCTTGCTTCCACCCTCTGTACGCTTCCTTTTTTTGTTTGAATTTGCCTAGGAGTTCCTTGTTCATCCATGCGGGACAGAGATAGAGGCTTTAATTCAATTTATAAAGAACAATGACATCAACTGCCAGAAAATACTAGAGATAATTAAAGTACTACTAAATCAACAAAATTCACTGATGGATACTGCTTTACTCACTGACATCTCAGAAATGCTAAAGTTTAATATTTAATATCCCCAGAGTGTAACTCAAAAAGCCTTCTTTTTAAGTTACCAATAATTTAAATTTTAAGTATTAGAAATCTCAAAATACAGCAGTGATTAATGTCATGACACAAAGACACTCTAAAGATAAGAAGAGGGGAAGAATACAGAAGCTCTTCTAGAAAGAAAAAAATACCTCAAACCAACACAATTAGCATAGTAAAGTGTTTAAAATTTCCTTCCTTTTCCAGAGGCTAATGTTTAGTACCTGGTTTTGAAATGAGCAGCCATTGTTTTACAGCAGCTATCTACAGACTTAAAATGAAAATAAAAAATGAGAGACACAATGAAAATAAAACTGAATTCCCACTTCCAAAATCCAGTTAACACAAGTGTTACTATGGTTGTACCCCATTACTGACAGATTCTTTATTTAAATAGTTATTCATCTATGCAAAAACCTAGAGATATTTAACATAAAGAAAGAAGATACTCCCAAGTCTTGGGAAGGCTAAAAAATACCCTCAGAAAGGTAAGAAATGGATCTCCCTAGACCAAGCACCTCACAGTGTGGGACATGTATTTGACATACACGCAATCATAAGTATAACCAAAAATACTGACACAGCTAGACCATAAAGCAAGTATCAGAGCGTACATCAAAATTCCTTCTGACTGGCCCATCAAAACGGAATCAGTTAAATCGGTCAGGAAATAACCAAAAACAATGAAGTTCAAAGAAATGGAGTTGAATTTTAACAGCAGCCATGGCCACGCAAGCACCCAAATGAGACATGCAATACAACTGCAGGGCAGCATGGATGCTCTGCCACGCAACTGGTGCACTGATGTAACGGTTCTCAGGCTCCTTCGTTAATCTGGCCCTCCAGATATGCTGATTCTGCATGCCACCATGGTGGGACAGATAGTCAAGCACTCTGATATTTTTCCTGGAAGTAGTCTCTGTGTACATTATTGAGAGCAAAATTGTTTGGAATAAAATATATAGGGCCCCTCTATACTGTCCACATTCCCGACAGGTGATGCCAACACAGCACCCCTGGATACTTCAATAGGAAGTACGTCAGCATACTGTGAAGAGGAGAAATTAGTATCAGATGAACAATGGAAACTAATGTCAATGACTGTCAAGAACAGGTTCATATCAACATGTACCAAGACAGTACCAACAGCCTCTCTGTAGGCTGCTAGGAGAGAACCAAACTTGGGATCCTAAGGAAGGAAGACTTTACCATTCCACTCTATTCCATCACAAACATGAAAAACAGAAACATCAACCCAACACATATCCACAGGAAAGGACATGCACTCACTGAAGCAGCTCCTTGCTGTGCGAGTGTGCTGCAAACCCTGCCACGTGGTTTATAATAGGAGAGAAATTGGTTGGCCCGTAGAGTCGGATCTGAGGAAGGATTTGGCGGTAGGCATCCACTATTCCTTAGATCCCTGCAACGCAAGGAAGGCAAGCTGTCACAAAAGCCTCACAACTTTTCCAGTAATTATTTTATAAGCATTACTAAATAGTACGGCAAAAGGATAATAACTCTCACGCAGCAATGAACTCCTAAAGGACAAATAAGCAGCAGGATAACAGCAGATATACAAAGCACAGGGCTGAAACCAGTGGACATCTGCAGAAATAGAATTTGCAGATTTCTCCCCTATTCTACATTTTCACATTACTCTTTGTGCCTCTAACATCACAAAGCTCATTGAAGTTGCAGGAAAAATAATCCAGTGAAAGCATGTTGATGACTCTGTTTACCTTGTTCTTTCTAGCTTGTCATCCAATTTATCTTGTTTAATTGCTTATAGTCTAATTAGACAACAAGGTCAGAAGCTCTCTGGAACACTAACTTTTTATTTTCCTTGCGTGAAAGTTAGCCAAGGATCCCTGATTCAGGATTCAAACATTTCTGTAACAGAAATCGCAATCTCTAAGGTTTTTCCTACACAAGAAGCTTTTCTCAGGTTAACTACAAAAAATTTTGTAAAAAGTCTGATTTTAAATGGTGTGTATTCTTCTGTGCATCCATCTAAATTGGCCTGTTCCTGGCTTGTATCAATGTAGCTTCATTTGCCACTGCTGCTCGCATTGTCCACCATGCAGATTTTAGTGCAGAAACACTCAAAACTACCACACAGGGACCCTCAAAGGACAAAGACGCAGATCCCAATGAGGCAGACAACACTGACCTGACTGAGGAAATGCCTGGATTTTAACACTGAACCTCAGATTCATTTTTTTGTTGGCCTTAGACCAGAGAGAAAAAAATGAACAGAGTTAAAAATGCTTGTTCAAGACCAATTCAGTGTCACTGCATGCTAAGAGAGTTCTTAGTCCTGAAAGGTCACAATCCAGCTTAGAGAGCAGCGCTTAAAAACAGCTGAAGCAACCCCCACTAAAGAAGATGTCTGTAAAGTAAATAAGCTTTTAAGACAACTGTTTAAAATATAATATTCAAACATATAAACATTGCTGATTAAGTAACGATGGTCTCTAACTGCCTTAGCAGATGGTCACTCTGGAAGCTTGGCTACACAGGCACACTGCTGATCTGAATCCACCGCTACCTATAACACACCAGAAGGAACCAAGCTGCAGCAACAAAAACCTCAGCAGACTAATAATCACATGAAATCTATATTCCTTCACTGGATCTTACACAGACTGCATGGAAGTTTGCATCAATACACATCGACTCTTGTCAGCATCCGCGTGAGAGTAGATCTAGTTTGCTGCATGTCTTGGAGCTGCATCTGTTTTTCACCAATTATGAAAGAAATACAACACTTCAAACATCTATCTCTCTCAGTGAAATACTAATAAAGAGATGTCCTCACCTTGACAATAAGGGTTGCTGGGGTTGAAGTTCAAAGCAAATTCATGGGATACCTGGGAAAGAGGACATTACACACAATTAGGGAACGCAGACATGGACAAAGCAACTGCCCAGTGTTGGGAAGGCCCTACCTGCCAGCTAGGAGGAACCTGGGCTCCAAACCCAAATGCAGAAAACAGCTTGTCCCTGGAGAGAAAGGGCAACAACAAGAAATGAGAAAGAGCTTTACAATCACTCTTCTGTTTTATTCCCAGAAAGCAGCTGGAGACCGAGGTTCAACTCCTGCCATAAGGAATGGGTACACCATCTAGCTCCTCAAGGACAGTTAACCTAAGGGTTTCAGGCTTGGGAGTGACAGTTTCAGAATTTCTTTCAGTGCAACACCCCACAGGGCTCTCAGGAGATATCGAAATCATAGCAAGAGAAAAGCCAACCTAGCCACAGTCTGGCTAAAGGACGGACAGACCAACATGGTCCCACTGAATTGAACATGACATTCATGCTTGAAATGCACCATCAGCAGCAAGGGATAAGTGACCAGCTAAAGCAGCATTACAGAGTAACCCAGGGCCATAAAGGGGCAGACCTGGAGGGACAAGTCAAGCAAATATGCCAAACTACAAAGGGCTGCCACTGCCCACCCTGGTAGTGACAGGAGCAGGAGGAAGCAGCGGCAGCTCCTGAAGGGATCTCCCAAGGAAAGGTACCACCTTAGTCATTCAAAAGCTACAGCTCTGGAACAAACTATCAGCCTTGATCCCTGACACCCACTGTGACACATTTTTGATGTGGTGGCTGGATCAGTTAAGATCATTACATACGTGTCATAATCCTGGACTACACTTCCCACACTCCAGATGGCAATCAGGTACTCATTTATCCCATCTGGGCTGACGTAGTGAAGAGAATCTGGTGACTTGGGATCTCCATTGGAGCCAGTGAAGTCTACACCCACCTAATCAGTCAAGATGATGACAGCAAGTCACCGACGCATCACCACAAGCAACTGAGAACTAACCATACCCAGAAACAGAGGGTTAGACCAGGCCCCCACGGCTCCCTTCCTCCCAAGCACACAGGCAGCCCTGTACAGGAACAGACAAACAAGGCTGCGTGCCTCTTCTCACTGGGGTCCACGCATGTCTAAGAAGTAGCAATCCTTACCACTGTTAGACGGAATGAATTACTCAAAAGAAGTTTAAGAAACCCTAGTTCCATTAAAGTTGCTACTTGATCACAAAAAGTAAAAACATAGTATAATTTGGTTCTTGTCTTCATCACTGCAAAATCACACTGCAAACAGAAGTACTGATCGCAACTTAATCTCTTGTCCTGTCATCCACCGAGATGTGCAGTGGGGAAACAACTCACTGTGAAGTTAATCTGGCAGCCTCCCATGACATAGTCCAGAAATGAATATTCTGTCTCAATCTAGAGGAACAGACAGACAGTGTTACACCTCCTCCCACAAGAACAGATTTCATTAGGATCAGAAAACAAAAAAAGACAAAAAACAACAAAAATCTTCCTACCTTGCATGATTTTATCCTAATAATGCCAGAGTTTTTGTAGCTCTTTTTCTTTTGTTTTTTCTCAGGATGAATGCATTCAAATTCCACCTACAGAAAGCAAGCATGCAAGAAGCAAGTTCCAAAATATCTGCATTTACAGCAGTGCAAACTATTGAAACAGAACAGTGTCAGACATCACACAATTTCAGAGTTACCCAAATACCTGGTAGAATTCTGAAACTTAATTTTTAAAAGTTTTGCAACTACTTTGGCTGTTATCTGATGAATTCAATGGCATGTTTTTGCTACCGGTGCTGGGCAGAACACAAGGAAAGACCTCAGCAAAGTCTCACTCCTCAACAACATAACTGTTATTCTGTATGCAATCATGGAACTGTGACATTGTATCAGAGGGAAAAAAAGACAATCACAAACGTGAGCATTTCTCTTAACATCACCACATTCTTTTTCAGTTAAGGGAAGGGAATACGCTCAAACAGAAGACAAGGAGGCAAAACCTCGGGGTGGGGGCGGCCAGGGAAGCCTAGGTTGCAGGTTCCCGGTGGCAGTGTTTCACTATTTCGTTTCACTGCCATTAGTTCTGATTTCACATAGGCTAGGGAAAAAGGTAAGAATCTTCCATCAGCCTTAGGATTACAACCACAAAATCAAGTTGGCTGGCAACTGGACGCAGTCCTAGGCTACATCCTGTGTGCGGAGTCATCCATCTGAATTCATATGAAACACCTCCAACAAGAACGAGAGTTCAGCTTTTCACTGCAGACAACAGAGAGAAAGTGGCATGACCCACAAACAGTTCAACTTATTCTAAACTGGATGCTCAAGACAAAGTAAGAAGAGTGCCCATTGGAAGCACTGCTCCTCTGTGTTAGCTAGAAAGGCAACCAGAGTGCTCATGAGGGTGACCAGCTCAAGCACAAATGTTATCCGAGGCAAGCCCTACCTCTGGACTCGTCTGTTAAAGTATGAACAAGCCCTTTTACTTCCACTTGACTCAGCAGAGGCAAAAGCAAGCTGAACTGCTGCGAAAAGTGGCTGGCAGCCAGGAAACAATGGGCTCAAAGATGTCTTTAGGAATAGGAATGCTAACAGCACCCAAGGAAAGCAGAGCAATATAATTCCCACACTGGGTTTTATTCTTCCCAGATGTTGGCTTAGTAATACAAAGATATAAACAGAAAAAATCACTTTTGGAGGCAACAACTAGAAATATACCTCTGAAGTCAGAGGGGTTTGTGAAAGACTGAATAATGGACTAAGTTAGTGTGGGGTTAAGAAAGCTCACCGGAGAGCCATCACTCGCTTTCTGCATCTGAGTCAGGCTAGTTTCAAAAGTGCCGATCAAGTCATGGGAGCCATCGCTGTCATGATCTGCACACTGTACCTGAAAGGGAAGAGAGAACAAGCAAAGACAAGCATACAGCATCAGGGAGAATGGCAGCTGCTCACTGTTTCCAACAGCATTGCAGCGATGCTAGTGAACTCCCCTGTCCAATATGAACTGGTGGTGCATCCGTATCACTAACTGAAACCCAACAGTAAGAGAAACACCCAGGGTTAATCTCAGAAAAAAGAAGATGTTCAATTGCTCACCCATTTAAGTATGCATAGTGAAAGTCTTAATTAAAAGCTTTTCCTAGTTTAAACACAAGAGATTAAAAAAAAAACCAAACAACAAAAAAAACCCCCAAAACACATCACAAAACCCCCCAATATTCCCCAGCCCAGATGTATAAACGTGGGATCATTCAGGACAAGATTATGCAACAGGAGTAATGGAAAGAATCATACAGAGTCACAGAATGGTTTGGGTGGGAAGGGACCTTAAAGCCCATCCAGTGCCACCCCCTGCCATGGGCAGGGACACCTCCCACTAGCCCAGGTTGCCCAAAGCCTCATCCAGCCTGGCCTTGAACCCCTCCAGGGATGGGGCATCCACAGCTTCTCTGGGCAACCTGGGCCACTGCCTCACCCCCCGCACAGGAAAAAACTTATTCCAAATATCAAATCTCAATCTATCCTCTTTCAGCTTAAAAGCAGCCATTAAAAGTTTGTTATCTATCTTCTGAATATATTATTTTCTTCCGCCAGCGATAGCATCGATTTACAAAGAAATAGCAATTTCCACAGAGCACTCTCTTTTTCTGCATCTTATACCAACCAAATTATAAGTACGTAATTAATAACCAGCCACATTTAAGTCAGCATGAAAGCCTGAGAACTAGATAATGCAAAAGAGCAATGCATTTAAAAATGAAAATATGCTAATAATTCTGGCTCAGAGCAAACACAGTAAGAGGTATATAGTCAGTGGTTCCCCACAAAATCAGTGATGAGGAGCATTTATAACATGCACAATGGACACAACTGCAGAACACAAATAATTCCAGAAGTAGTCAATCAAGAAACAGTTAGCAAATAGCTGCTTCCTCCCTACTGAAGCTCACAGGCTGAACAGATTCAAAAGCTCTCTCTGAGATCTGCCTTTAGTAGTCAAGACACTGACGTTACTCCAGTATAGACCACAGTGACAGCTTTCTCCTCAGGACCAAGGGACAAGATGAACCTGCAGGTAACACCTTGATAAGAACATCAAATTCAACAGCTAGGTATCTGAGTGTCAGACAGGGTTCTTTTAGGACTACTTTGATGCACTAGGGATCTTTCCCTGGTATGAGCTGGAAACCTGTACAAAAAGTTGGGTGAATTATGGCCTAATCTAGCCACCTAAATGGGAAGCACCGTGTCATCCTTCAACCTCTTAATGGGGAAACAAGACCACCTTAGAGATTGTGCCCCCCTTCTCCCCCTTTATCCTTCCCAACACACCACCTTCCCACTCCTCTCTTCTGCACGCTCCACCATGAAGCAGCTCCCACCATCCTGTCTGAACTCCACTTCGCCTCTCTCAACAATTCTGACGTTTCAACATCACCCAAAATCAAAGAGGCCAACAAGGGAGACCCCTGTGCAGAAGCCGGGGTGCAGGCTCCCGGAGCAGGGTCTCCTTTGTGCCAATACCCCTGGAGAGCTGCAGAGAATTCCGCAGCTGCCACCTCCACACACCTCCTCTTCCCCTCCTGCTTGCTCCCACTCCCCCTCAGCCACGCCAGTAAAATTGTACCTAGGACCAGTTTTGTTGTTAGTTCACAGCATGATATGGCTTAAAACAAACCTCTTTTTGTAAGGGTTTTCTAAACCTGGCCAAGATTCACTCTATGCACCCTAAAGAGTGGTGCTGCTGCAAACAACTCCTGCTAGCAATGCTGCAGGACACTGTACATAGTTATTTACTAACACATTATTTCTTCACAAGTGAACTATCCAATATTCATTATGAGCCTTGGAATAGAGTCAGCAGGTAAAAGGCCCCTTTCATCTACAGAAGGAACTTTCAACATTCACAGAAAATGGATCTGCCTTTATGTATGTGCCACCAAACTGGTGGACTGGCAGCTCCAGTCCCAATACCAAACACACAAATTTCACATTTGCTATTTCCACTTAAATAACTACGGGGGAGAGATGCTACTTTCATTTGTCCCTATTTTTAATAAAATTGTCAAGAAGATTAGGCAGTGTCACAAGTCTGAGATGTTCTTAACACAGAACAAGGAGACCATCACTCTGCATCACAATGAAGAAAGAGTTACTGAAATATTATGCAGTATCTTTAATTCGATCAAAAGATTTATGTTCACGCACATACTCAGTAGATAGTCCTCATACATAGCTAGCAGAGCTGATGTTTAGGGGACGCATCAAAACGGCTGTTTCCCCTCTGCTGAAGTGCACTGAGTGCTCTCTTCATTGCCTACCATTATTTCACCTGTAATTGTTCCTTCATAAATTTTTGGAAGCCTCAAACAAGAGGTTCAGAGCAGTGAATACCAGATGAAAAATTAAACACCAGTGCAATAGTATATTCTTCAGCGCTGCTAGTGAAACGCCTACCTGTGTGGATCCCCCTTTCTGACTGACTTCCCTAACCTGCAACTACAAGAACCACTATAATCCTTTTTTATAGCTGCGCTGTGAAATTTCATTGATTACTTGCACATGTATCAAGAATTTTTGCTGAAGTGAACTAACAGCAAAAATCTATAGTTTTTAAGAAGCAGGTCATTCCAAAGTGAGTTCAAAAGCACAGAAAGCTTCTGGAAATCCAACAAACAGAAACCCCCAAAACAAACAAACAAAACCCAAAATACTACTAATAAAAATAAACAACAAAAACCAAACAGCCACACAAATCTTTTGGACTATAGCAAATATAGCCTCACGTAACAGAATGTGTAAACCATGCCATCTCACATCAGCTTTGACAAATGGTTATATGCATCTTTTTGCCATCTCCTTTTCACATTTGCTGCTCAGTTTTGGACCAAGAGGACTTCGTTCTGACCTAAAACTGTTGATTCCCCAACAACAAAACCTCACAAACACCACTTAGAACATTGTGACACACCAACAAGGCCAGCACACCTGACAATCTATTTCCAGGTTAATCTCAGTAATTCTTTGGACTTACCATGCTGCACAAATAAAAACACTAGCATGCATGCTTTTTTTGATAAACCTTTCAGATCAAACTTCCAGCATAAGATTTCTTCAGACAGGACGAGGCAAGAAAATTCTGCAAATAGAAAGTGTCTAGGAGTTGGATAAGCAGAGAGAGACTACCTATACTTACACAGAACTATCTGTAAGCCAGGACCAGAGAGGATTAGTCATCATATACAAGAGCACAAGGAATTACACTTCTGACTCAAAACCAAATTTCTAGTTGAAACAGATAGAAAAAGACATGGGACAAGCCTGGCAGTCTCATGAACAGATGAGTCTGACAGATGCATTAAGGTCCTCTCTATGTCAGTATCCCGAGGCACTCAAGCTTGTCCAACATATATGAGCTTCTCAGTTAACTCAGAAGCAGTGCTAGAAAGCCACAATTTAAAACAAAACAAAACAAAAAAACCCCCACTAAAACCCAACCTGAAGCCCTGGCCAGAATAGTGAAAAAATCAGTTATAATTCTTCTTATGACTGATCATGAGAAAGTGTGTCACTTACGCATTTCCTGACTTTTCAGTTTGACAACTCAATGTTTTAATACAGGCTTCATACTTAATAGACATATAATCACTCATCTGCCACACTACTATTCTAGAAAGGCAATCTAAAAATTTAAATATGACTAGACAAGCTGATAACTCATAGTTAACATCATAGATTGGATTACTTACAACAATAAATAACGAGAATTTCTGAAGGCTCTACCTTGATTGGTTTATTAAAATCTCCGCCACAGAATGTATGTAAGGGAACACTGAACTTCCTCCAGCACGGATTTAAGTTGTTCTTAATCACCTAAAAAACATTAGAGTATAACGTCATGTGAGGGATGTGGCGTGCAAGTCACTAAGAAACATAACAGGACGCTGTCTAAGAACAGCCTCAGTCACTTCAACCCTGACGTGCACGGACGGCCAGCAAAAAGGTCTGTAAGAAATAAAAGCTGAAGTTCAGGACAAAGGTAAATTTTAGAGACAAGCCAACCTAACAACTCATCACCACCGAAAGGGAGCAAAGTTCTGCCACTTTCTCTCTTGGTGCACGGTTGGACTCTTCACTAGACCAGCTTAATCCAGTCACCAGGCAGCAAATAAACAGTTTTCTGCCAGGTTAGCGAGCAGAATCCCTTTTTTTAGGATACAGGACAACTTTAATTGCAGAACTGGTGCAAAGCATGACCAGGAGTGGGACTCCCTCTTTTGCTAAGTGTAAGCTGTCTGATCAACTCAAGGAAAACATCAGCGTAAAAATACTACCTCTGATCTGTATACCAGCTGCCACGTTCCAACATCACTCTGCTTTATAAAACTCCAAAAATGGATCCGATTTACCTAAGAAATCCTGCAAACAAAAACCCAACAGAAGTAATCAGCTTCCTGCATTTTACTCAGATGAGAGAAGAGCTGGCAAACCAGCACACAATACTTCAAACAAAGCACAAGGTCAAACAATCTGTATACGTTTTCCTCTCCTTTATTCTACTTTTCTCTTTTAAACTGCTTGCCACGGGGACAGTTTTTGCTAAACACCT